TTTTACCGTCCTGGACCTAGCAGACTACCGATTAGTCTCCCTCGCAGCCGTTTTTTGGATGTTACGCAACGCTCCCGCAAAGGGGGGAGCGTTGCGTGACATCCAAAAAACGGCTGCGAGGGAGACTAAGTACCGATGAACAAATTAAAATCTTTGTTACAGAAAACACGGAAAGTGACTCTTTTTGTATGGAAGAGTATTCGGAAAAATACACTATTGTCGTCTGAAATTCATTGTTACGTTAAAAACAGAAAAGGTTTACACTTAAACAGGTACAGAAGTAACTGTTTACAGTGTGAGGTTTTTACTTAAGGGGTAACGCCAAAACTAGTTTTGGATTTGCTGTCGTCTAAGCATCAAAGCACAAGCCATTTAGGTGGAATGAGATATCCAAATAGGCTTTTAAGTAAGAATTTGCCGCTCTGTACATACAATTATCCATTTTATAGTGCTTACAACAGTTCGAATCACTGGGTTAATTTTGGCCAATTTAAGCTTTGTACTGATATAGAGAAGAATCCAGGACCTTCAGTTTATGTAGATGCTACTAAAACAATTAATGCTCCATACTTTCAAAGGAAATGTTACAGTATTTGGGGAAAATGCTGGACAACAATGTGTCGCAATGAGTCTGTGCGTTTTCATTTACAGTAAGATAGCAAAGATTACTTCAGTTGATGATTTGACTCAAATATATGATTGTTGGTATTCAATTATATTCTAGTCTGTCACTGCTTCTGCTGCTTGCAAGACAATCTATGTTAATGTTAACAGAATTGCCAGGAATGAATCAGTGACAGTTATACTTGTAACATCCATCACTACTGTATATGCCACTCACAGGATACTGCATTGGAAACACTCTCGGCACTGAACTACAACTCATTCATTTTAACGCTGGCAATTATTGGTGTTGGTAACTACAGCATTAAGGCATTGATTCTCATGCTAGAGATATGTATCATAACAGTCATAGTGAAGGGACATGTGTATTATTGGAAATACCATCCATGCATAAATTATTATAATATTTTCAGACTCTGTATACATGTAGGAATGAGGATATATATGAACTTAAAGGTGTACATATTGCCACCTTTGAACCTCATCTTTTCTCAAGCAATGTTGAACATTGTAGTATATCAAATGTCAGCGGCACCCAACTTCAATTTTCGGAAAATATCTGTTCGAAAGACGATTTGAGATCTAGAATTTTCCGAACATTTTTATTAACATTTCTTGCTTGCCTACCTCTCCTAGGATTTTCGAACATCTAAAAATTGGTGTAATTGCCCATTTTTAACGGATTTTTACCCTAAAAAGCTCACCTAGAATTTTCGGGAGCCTTTTTTCTGGCTGAAATTTTCGAAAAGGTAAGTTTTGATCTCTATGATTTTCGGATCTCGAGACTTTCAGCTAGGAAATTCGAACAGATGGAAAATTTTTAGGGGATAAAAATTATGCCTATATCTACCGTTTAAATACTAAAATACGTTTAACAATGCTCTGTTTAAGTGGTTTTGAACTATATTCTCGTTGGGTGCCCCTGAAATGTTAATAGTTACCAATGTTCCTGTAAACAGCGCTGCCGTATAGCAGTTTATGCAATGTGTTACTCTCTTATTAATCCTTGTGGGTACTGGACTTAAGGAACTTTATTTGCCCTTGTTAGTAACCGGAATACACTGTACAATGTGATGGGTGTGAAAACACATCTGTCAGTATCAGTGGAGCTGAGACAAACCTTACTCTCCGGGTTGTAACCACTTTTGTCCTATGTTGCAATTTTCAAACATTGTCACGAAATGACACTATTTTTGTTGGGGATTGGGACATACTGTATAAGCTGTGTGGTTCAGCAAACAAGTGGAGTAAAGGATTTGTCTTCTCTGTTAAGATATGATGGCAGTTCTTTAGCTGCAATAAGGCATGTTCAAAGTATCATACCCGTAGTACGACCACGCCCAAATACACGCTCCCACAGCGTCTTGTTTAGATCTAAAAAGACAGCCACGATCTATGTTAAAGGCCCAATTATCAGCGGCTTCGAGCAAAGCGGTTACAGTTGAGTGAAAGGATCGAAAACCAGACTGATATTTTGACAAAACATTATTTTCGGATAAATAGGAAGAAAGCTGATTATAAACTATTCTCTCGAAGACTTTTGCTATTGCTGAGATCACAGAAATTGGGCGATAATTGTTCATATCACTTCTATCGCCCTGCTTGAATATAGGCGTAACTTTGGCCAATTTCCAGTCATCAGGGAATGTGCCGGTAGTTAAACAGCAATTAAAAATAATTGATATATATGGCGAAATAAGGTCAGCACATTCACGAATAAGCCGACTTGATACCTTATCGAGACCAGCCCCTTTAAAGTTATTTAGTTTATTCAATAGCTTTAAAACCTGTCCACTATCAGTAGGGCGGAACTAGAATCTGTTGTTAATGCCTTTGACATATTCCCGATGACAGTGGTCATTGTTATTAGATAATGGGATGTTATTAGCAAGTTTAGGTCCTATTGATGAGAAATGATCATTGAAAGCATTCGACAAGTCAGATGAATCAGATATAGAAGTACCATTTAGATTTAATTCTCTAATCGATAAATTAACGGCTTTACGATATGTAAGATCGTGGATGATTTGCCACGTTTTACGTGGGTCGCCATTAGTTTCGGTAAACTTATTATTGTACAATTCTTTAGCAGCTTTAATTTCAGGAGCAGACTTATTGTAAAAGTAGACCCCAAGATAGGATACAACAAAATTGCAGCGAATATTCACCGGCACCCCCCGTACCCGCCCCTATGGATTCTCCATCATTTCATAGGGAGGCCTGCGCGAGGCAAATGAGAGGTACATTAAGTAGAAACAGCAAGCTGGAGACATGTCCCTTCGTCTGTCTCCAGATTCCCAAATGGGCAGCTTCCTCGCGGGCTTAAGATATAAAGCTTAAGAGGTTACCATTTTTTTTTACGAGGCTAAGATTGTTTTGAAATATCAATATCAGACATGATGCACGTTTTTAAAAATCGTCAGTATATCACATTAAGAAAGGGTCTAAGTTGACGCACATGTCAAGTATTGTCTCAATTCTTGCAATTGCTTGTAGCTTGCAATGCTGGCCCTCAGGAGCGGAAATTTATTACAATCATTGTTAGGGAAAAAAACACTTAGTTAGGTGCAGGTGCTATAATATCAATAGGGGCGATAACCTTTTCTCAGTGGCTCGGACACAATTTACTAATTTCAGCTGACAGCTGCTCAAAGAATCTCAGCTATCAGTTAAAAAACTTATCGTTTCCCAGCTAACAGTTAACGTTTTGGCCAATTCTCAGCTATCAGCTAACCCCATCCACACCCTCTGAAGTGGCGTGTCTCGCGATCAACCCACGTCGTCGGTCTTACAGTGTCTAACAGAATTTACTAATAAAGAACTTTGAACGGCAAGGGAAATTTAAATGAAATTACTGATTGCCATTGCGTAAAGCGACCACTCCTTCGTTGTTTAATAACAATACTATATTACAGTTATGCATGTTTATAGTTTGTCTTGAACAAGTTATCTTTCTGATGATAAATAGACGTTTTTACTCGGAAATGATGGACCAGAAAGATGAACGGTAATGATTTAAGAGGCGCTGCTGCGTGATGGCTACCCCTATCAATGTGAAAGAGCAATTCAACAAAACACATATATTCCTGGATTATATTTTAATATTTCCCTAAAACAGTTTTATAACACATTAATTGTTTCTTCTATACGTAATTATGAATATTGCAATTCCTCTTTAATCTTTTTTACTATTCTCATAATGTGTGCCAGAGTTACTCATTTTAATAGAGTGGAATGTTTGGTTTCTATAGAGGATAACGGTTTAACGTATTTTTGATACTTTGGTTGAAGTCGCCTCGTTCATATGCTGCAGGACCAAGGACCTGGCCATGCCGGCCTGCAATCCTAAACGTGTTACCTCGGCCAAGGTATGTGTTGTCTGCGTACACGTGATGTTCAGACGGATTGCCATTAGTCAGCCAAATGCAAGGGTAATCAGTCGGATTATTGACACCAATGATCTCAAAATTCATTCCCAGAATATTTGATGTTCTCATCTCTTCCAACATTTTGATGAGGCTCGTGGTATCTCAAACCACTTGTTGAATTGTTTAGGTTGGTTTGCATTCTGAGGTGATTTCCGTAGACTACAACGTTCTTGAGACCCATATAAATACAAGCCTTTTTTCTTTTGTTGTGGTGCGAATACAGCAGAATTCCGGTGTCGTCAACGTAATTCCGAACAAGCTAAAGATTTTGGCCATTTCGAGCTTTAATGCCACCCGATGCAGTAGCTTATTACGGTGATGTTGTCGACCCCTTTGAGCTATATGGCGGGGTCTCTACGTCGTCCAGTATTGGGACTTCTCTTGAAAACGTTTTTCTCGATTTGCATTCCTTCGTCGCAATGTTCATAGGGACAACTTTTAAAGTAGCCTTGGTCATCTTGAAGATGGTAATGAGTTTTAAGGAATTCTAATTTATTTTTTGGACCCGACCAGTACCTTTTTGGCTCAACTTGATCGGACAACCAGAGCATATCCTGACTTAATTTGAGATCACACAAGTTGTTATCTAGTGTTACATTCATGGTGTGAGCGAAACTGATGGCAACCCCATAAGCATGTGAATCGCGCATAAATACGTTTTTGGTAACACGGCCTTGTCTAAGATTAACCATTTTCAACTGTTTCTTCCAAGCATTGCTTGCTGTTCCTGGATTTTGCGATGAAAAGAATACGCAACCCTCTAATTGTGATATTGTTTGTAGATCGACCTTCAAATTCTACACGAATTCCGTCAAATACAGATACTTTATTGAAACATGTGTTACCGGTGAAGCATTTTGTATTCTTATTGCATATGCATCCCTGGCTTTGATAACTGCGATACCACTCTGTGTTCCGTAACGTTCCACAGAGTCGGCGATGGCGATATCACCGTTGACCTGGTACACACCAGGAGGCCGGGAAGAAAACCTTTTTGATGGTGGAAATCGGAGCCTGGTTTACTATGGCCTGAATCGCAGACTTGTCGTCAGTTATTCCATCTCCAACAGCGGCAGTTAGGGAACCGCCAGGTTGCTTCACGTTTGTCATTCCAGCACGTACCCTGTTCGGTGTCCCTGTCAGATAGTTTTGCGGAGCTAAGAGATGGAGGAATTAAGCAAATTAAGCTTAGAAGTCCGTTACGAAAAATGCTGTTGTTCGGCTGGCTTTCACATTTGATTCACAGTACACCACAGGAGCAATTAATATTTCAAACACTCTACAACTTTATGAGAAAGCTAGAAGTTTAAAATTACCCTATCGAGCTCTATGAATGACTGATTACGTTGGTTTAACTCTTAAAGAAAGTCAGTCGAAAAATCTTCTGTTCTCAGTTTTGCTAGGCAAGTGTCTAAGATTCTTGCTTTGAAATAGTTAGTATCGCAAGGCGTAAGGTAACTCTATTTATAAGCGGTATTTCCTTTAGGTACATTTACATCATTTACATTCAATAACAAAAATCCTCCGTAATGAGCCTTACGTACGTGCTGATTGCTTTTTGATAACGATTTTCCGTTCTCTCTTGTGATTAACTGTAGACGTTCTCTTTTTGTGGTGTCTACCAAGGGGCCCTCTGTCAGAAACATTCTCCATCCGTCAGTAAGGAGAAAATATGACTGAGTCAGGATCATACGGGCTTTCTCTCGTCTCTATTTATTTCGTTCCTTCTCCTGCTTAAATAAAGAGTTCAGAGAGTCAAGAAATAGCTAAGGGCCTCCTTAAGATTTGAATAACTCGAGTTCCTTGCACGGTGTTACATATTTACAGCCTATCTTCGGATCGATCTACGTAGATCTTCATGCTATCGCTTTGCGTCAAGCACAGCGCGCGTTTACGAACTGCATATATACCTCATCCGTAAAGGAAAAGTCTTCCCTCGATAGAGAGCGAACGAAGCTGTTCAATCTCGTTTTATATGGAAGGTTGTCAATACTCCTCTGTGCAGTCCAAGCTCTTGAGCCACCTTTCGATATTTTTCTGTTACAGTCTTCTAGTTAGTTAGGATCGAAGATCATAGCTTTTTCGCTTAAAGTAGCCTATGAAAGTACCCGAGTTTCTTAGTTAAAAAGATGCGTGTGTGAAGCTACAAAAAATATTGCTGTATTCTAACTTATTAAACATCGTAAATCAAAGCAGGATAACCGTCCAGACATCTGCAGACTGATTACAATTGCAAATCACATTTTAAATTGTACTCGCACAGGTTTAGTTACAGGTTTTAAAGAAAACGTCTTATCGTAATTTTTCTTGAACGAAAAACTGTGATTCTTCAATGAAGACTCAAGAAACCGATTCATTTTCTCTATTTTAAACTGGATATATAAGATTCAGCACAGTTCCTTCAAATAATTATGTCAAAATTTATTTTCATCGAAATAATTATTTGATTAACGCAGTGTACCTGGTGAATTAACAGGTCTGTATCCACGTTTCCGTCTGGTAGACTAGGACGCATCCTCGGAGACCCAGGGGCAGTCAGTCGGGTCGGGAGAAAGGGGGCGACGAAAGTTTTCAAGTATGGGCGAAAGAGCCCCTGGGTACCGACTCTCACAAAAATATTTCCAAAAATTCAAGAGGATACCGGCTCCTGATTGGACACAAAAAATGCTTTGTATTATTGTTCCCAATCGGCGAACAGTTTCTCCTGAGTTCTTTTCGTGAGTTCGTACACGACGGCTGTTGTTTTTTCACACTTGCCCGGTTCATTCACCAAGCTTGTGCGAGCAAGGGAAACTTTTATTTTCTACTTTCCTAACCAGAAACGAAGGAACTACCGATGAGACGAGAAAACGTTTGGGATGCTATCAGCATGAGCAATTCAATTTGCCCCGAGAATATTCTGTTTTTGACTCATCACAATGTATCGTAAATAATAGGAAGTTAAAGTCAAATAAGCAATAGCTTAACAAGGCAAAACAACAACTTTGCACGTGCATCACACTTTTTTGTACATTTCTTTGCCGTCAACTGCACGACTACCCGTGAAAATGTCTACTGTAATTTCATGTTTTGTGAAGGACGTAAACAAGCAATGACAAAATTCATTGTCTTCATGAACTTGGATATGGTTGATAGAAATTCAGCTCCAGAAGACTTCGCTTGCATTTGACAAAGTAAGCGAGTTGGAATAATCACGACAGAAACTGAAAAAATGTGAATTTTTTTTACCATTCTACGTTTTCGTGGTCGTCAGCCGTCGTGGTATCTTTTTAAAATTCTCCAATATTTACGCAAGACGTGACCGATGCAAGCGTGAACACCTGTTGTAAGCTCAAGCTTGTATTTTTGGAAAGGCGTCGTTAGTTTTCGGGCAGACAGTATTTTGAAATCAGATGGGGATTTTACATCAAACTGAAAGTTTCCTGACTGCGTGCTTTTCTTTGGTGCATGAGCCAGACAAGCCGTGATTGAAACAATAGCCGTCGTGTACGAACTCACGAAAAAAACCCAGGAGAAACTGTTCGCCGATTGGGCACAATAATACAAAGCATTTTTTGTGCCCAATCAGGAGCCTGCTTCCGCTTGGATGTTTGGAAATAGCTCGGTTAGAGTCGGTACCCAGGGGCTCTTTCGCCCATACTTGAAAACTTTCGTCCCATGGGTCTCCAACGATGACTAGGACGATTAACACGCCGTAACACCTTCCGCCTAAAAGAGATCTCTGTCGTATTATTATTTATTGTCATTCGGTTCTTTGTAGAAATTTTGCACAAATTTTGACAATAATTCTATTACATCTAAAGTCTAGAAAAACGCTTTCAAGGGAGGATTCTTTCAGTATCCCGTGACAAGGACGGTGAATGTGGCCGTAGCTGTCAAGAGTTTAGCTCCCACATGTGGTGACCTGCGATAGAACAGTGTTTCAGCTTTTCAGTTGGACGTTAGGACTTTTGGCAGGTATTTTCTGGTTACATTGAATGAATTGTGTTTTTGTCAATTAAATTTTGTATCATTTTACCAGGAAAGAGTTTTTGCAGTTCCTTCATATCTTATCTTACAATACTTCATTATCTGAACTGAGGTTTATAAAGCAATGCTTGTTGTATCAGGCTGGTAACAAGGTAGGGATTATATGATGATCCCATTTTTTACCCATTTTTTTTAATCCTTATGCCAAAATTACAGATTTTTCTCATCCTTGATCCCATAAAACAACAGTGTTCTCGTCTGAAAAGAAATCGATCCCATCCCAGAGGGTCTCAATGGGGTGGTGGCTTTTACGGTTATCGGCTAAAATTTTGGCTCTTTTACGGCTATCGGTTAATTTTTTTCAGTTACGGTTAACGAAAAAGTTAAAAATTAACTTCTTTTGTTTCAAAAAGTTAAATATTAATTAACCTGTATTTTTTGTATCTTTACAATGAAAATAAAGGTCTTCGGATCATCTCGGGATGAAATAAGCTATTCTTTTGAAAAATTTAACATTTGATAGATCATACTTTTTATAAAGTATTGCACTTCTGATATTATTTTACACATAGAAATGTCAATAGTCAATTTAAAAATAATCTTTGTGAAAAAGCAAAAGCAGACAAGTGAACGCCCAACTCAAGGCCGGGGCGCAACATTCATTATAACAGAAATGGCCGTTTTTACACTAGAGAAGGATTATTCGTGTGAGACAGGTTATCCGTTTGATGATTCGCGTCAGATAGGTGATACGTCTTAATTTGGCAATGGAATAGTTTTAATTTTGAATAAACAATCCGCCTGACTTTTGAAGACAGGATTATCCGTTCCAGATAGCCTGTGTACAGCCACCCCCTCCCCTCAGAAAAAAATCGGAGAAGGTGTGTCTGTGGGGAGGGCGCGACTGTACACAGGCTAGTCTCACGGATGATCCATTTCTAGGTCTAGTGTGAAAGCGGCCAATAACAAAATTCCCGTGTCCAGTGTTTTTAATGATAGCGAAGGACTGTACGGAACGACTGTCTTGCCGTTGCCTTGTTCGTAGGCCGCATTATTCCGCGCTGCTGATGCCTTTCGGGTCATGTGGTCCGAGCGAGTTCGCCACTGAAATGCCTTGACCGAGATTGCGTGGGAAGACGCAGAACAGGGACTAGGCATGGCGATGTCTACCGTAGCGTCCGAGAAAAACAGGGAAATGTTGTTTCTCGACAACGTGTTTTACAAACAGTGACATCTCTGCGTGTTGTTTCACTAGTGTGGCACGGCCTCCTGAAAATTGCAAATATTAACGGCCCAGCAAAAAGCCACACTTTCGCTATGGAAAAAATTAGTTCCTCAAGAAAGCGCCGGAAATGGAGCCTAGGTCTTGGTTAACACCTAAAAGGAGCTTCGCCTAACGTGCGTACGGAGTCACACTAGCCGGGAAATAATTAAAAAACGCAACCATAAGTGAGTTTAGTACCTTCCTTAAAAGTAGCAAATCTAGGGAACACTTTCTTTTACGGTTTACTCTTTTTTACGCTATTTACGGCTAACGGTTAAAGTTTTTTAATTTTTACGGCTATCGGCTAAATTTTTGGCCGTTTTACGCCTATCGGTTAACCCCATTGAGACCCTCATCCCAGATAAAGCGATCCCTGTTAGTTTACTGCAATAGCTTTTTCGGAGTGACTTTATCGAAGTGTAGGCCTTGAAGTTTTTAAACAGTGTATGAAAATGACTTTATGTTCTTACAATTAAAAAAATCATTATCGTGGCCTTGATTAGAATCGAAGGCTAGTAAAAAAAAAATCGGTGGTATTTCCTGTTCATGGATTCAGTAGATGCAAACCAGTGGGGTGGATGTCAAATTTAAGGTAATCACTTTAAGTATAAGTATTGGTAATGGTATACTGAGCGGAGTACAATTCTGGGAGCAATCTGGGGAGTAAATTCAAATCGGCTGACTAGAGCGCGTAGCGCGAGGCGGATTTTATTTGAAATTTAATACAAGCAGTATTACCTCTGAATTGTACGGCACGAAGTCCTATTACCTATCAATTGTGTCAATAACAAAATGCGAGAATCTCAGTATTGGGATATTTCTAAATGTTAGTGCGATTTGTACAAAGTTCTTTTTTTTTTGCTTCCAAAGCGAAAACAACTATCGTAGACTTCAGGAACTTTCAAGGAGAAAACGTGTGAATACAAGTCATTGGAACAATTTATTTCGTCCATTTCTCCTTGGAAGCTTAAGCTGGAGAGCCTAGTGATTACTAATTCTTCATATTATTCAGAAGGATTTCAACAGTAACATGTTACGACAGCGACTATACCGTACATTGCTCAAGGGCACGCATTGCACACAAACCGATAACTACTTTACGACTACCAGTTACTAATGCCAAGGACAAAGACAAACCGGAGTACAGACAGGGAGCAGTATACAAGATCATTGCTGAGACTTCCAGGCCATGCACTTGCGTTGATGAGACCGTCAGAAACCTTGGGTGCTTTCCATTTAGCCTGATATTTTGAACATATAAGCTCTTGTAAATCACAAGCTCTTTCCCATGGACCCCAGTCTTCATCTCAACAATAAGGGAGGAAGAGACGAACCTGGGAACGAGGTCACGGTCAATCACGAATCAAAAGACTCGACTTCAAGTCGGTAAAAACTTGTGCTGATTGCTTCACAGACTTTC